AGATTCAATTGAAGGAAAATTATGTAGATTTTTGTTTATATTTCTTTTATTATATATATACTTATATATGTGTAAGTATATATATTCATGTATTTTGTTTTATATATAAACTTGTATTCTATATATGAACTTGTAATTGTATATTAATTTATGTATTTTTAATGTAAAATTTAATAAGTATATAAATATATCTATGGTATACCTACACCTAATAAGTTGAGTAACGAATATAAATTTTAATATCCAAATAAGTATTAAATATCAAAATCTTTTACATATCACCGTTCAAGTTAAGTATGGACCAATACCTGACCATATCTACCCATGTTCACCCCTAGAGTTCTACCATGAAAGGACACACCTACCGACTCTGATGTTGGGTTTGAACTGGGAATTGGGCCTCTGGGTAGCCATTGATTACAAGCATTGAGCCGCTAACTAATCATTCATCAATCTTGACTGGTCCAAGTCCATCAAATCGTCATGCACTGCATGTATAATAAAATTGACAAAACTTGGATTTTTTATGGGCCGTGATTTTTACTTATATATATATAAATTTAAAGATAATATATATTTATTTATGTTTAAAGTTTAGGTCACAAGTTAAAAATATTATTTTTATCATAAATATATAAAAAATATAAAAATTGATATTAAAACTTTAAGTTGATGAAGTTAATTAAACAATTAATAAAGGTCAAATTTTATTTTTTCCTATAAATCAGATAATTTAATTGATATGTCTTTGTTGCTTTATTAATTTTTACATTTTTCTTTCGTAGTTTGATACTTTGATTTTTTATCTAATTAAAAATATTCAAAATACTGTTAAAAAACTAATAAGCTGACCAAACTACACCAATTGAATCTAAATTGAATTAATTTAGTTATAATATAATAGTAGATTAGATTAGCTTATAACTTTCACTAAATAATTAAAAGAAAAATGGAAAAATAGGGCGTTCCAATATCTCAGGACGTCTTGTTTTTCTGGAAACCCATAATTAAATTAATTTGGTTATAAAATGTCAAAATCTGATCCAATCCATGCTGCAAACACCCCTAACCATAAGCATCCTTGTTCTTCTAGCATTCCCTAACTATTCTTATTTTTTTTCCTTTTTTTTTTTTCCCTTGGTGTCTTTGAAAAATTTCTCAAGTTTTTTAAAAAATTAATTGCTGAAAACTTGTGTACAAGTGTTGATCCTAGCTCTAATTTGAATTAATTACCTAGTCCATGTCAGGAAATTTGGCCCACCAGTGGCCTAATTTGTATGCTGCTAATTAAATGACTTGAGCTGAAGGCCTATACATCAAAGAAGATATGATATATTTGCTCCGCGTGGGAGAACTGCAGAAGACTTATTCATGGCCTAAGATGTACATTTCTTAGCTTATCTTACTCTAAAGAGATAACAATTAACAAGCCAAAATCCTTATTAATCACGGCCTAAGAACTTTAGTTAATGTATCTAACTCTCTTTTTTCTTTTTCTTTTTTTTTTTTTTGTACATTTTATCGTGAAAACGGTCCACTGATATATATATATCCCTTATATATATATATATCCTTTATATATATTTATATATATCACTTATACATATTTATCCCTTATGTACATAAGCTATGGCCCATTAGTACCTTATTTTCTCTACACTACC